TATTATTATTATTATTATTATTATTATTATTATTATTATTATTTAAATTGTAATATTATTTGTTTTATTTCTTAAACTTTTATTCTTCTTTCAACTATTTGTATTTAAAAATGTTGATATGGGATTCTGGAGCTCAAGAAAACGTGCCCAGATGATCTTCTTCCCCTTACATCACAAGAGGTTTACTGTTTTTTTGATTTAATAAATCATATTATGCCTTTGAGGAAGTTGACTGCCTATAATTAAGATTTATAATTTCATGAAACAACAGTAAAGAAGTAGGTTATCTTTAAGTGGCATGGTCTCTGAGAGAGAATTTTTTTTAAGCCACAAAGGTATGATACATTTACTTTTTGCGAATTTGCATTCGAGCGGTAAGATACGAAGGTACCTTGAATGAAAGCAGTGTTTAAAGATCTATAAGATGAAATTGTTTATGATATAAAATGATTTCGAGAGATTGCTACGCTGGAAAATATGGTAATAGATGTTTCTTTGTTGTCCATATGTGATGCAACATTTCAATAAAAGAAAATATGACGATTTCAGTTAATTTCGATTTTGTGAATCCATGCTGACAATTCGCATTGTTATTATGTAGTTTCCAATTGCACATAAAAGTATTTCCAACAATTTAGAAAAGATCTATAGAAGTTGTCTGAATTGCAGTTTTCTCTCTTGTTCTGTAAAGTTTTAACCTAACGGTTTTGAAAAAGTCCGGAAAAAGCCTGGTGTTTCACGAAGCATTGTAAATGTGCGGTTAACGGATTGACATTGACAAGGGCAAATGCCTTCGACAAACAGCACGAAAACTCGCAAAAGTCCTCGAAATTGTTGATTTTTAGTTCACTTACTAAAGTTATAACTTTTTGAGAAGGTGCATTAGCGTTAAATATTTCATCAAAAATATTTTGAGATAATATTTGGCAATGAATATTATTGACCTAGATGATTTGTGATTTTAACAGTTATTTTATAGAAATATTCATTAGGCAAGCTTCAGTAACTTCTGAACCTTCATCTTCCAAATAATGTTTTCTACAATTCACCTACTCACATTTGGTGGAATTCATAACAATATTACGCATAGTAGCTTTAGATTTAGTATAAGAATACTATCCCTATCATAATTTTTGTCTCTGCAATAACGTTTATTATAAGTTGTCTGTCTGAGATCAACGCTAGCCTCTAAACCGCTCTCATTATTTTCTCCAGAGTATATGTTCTCCACATGACCTAAACGATCTCGACGCCCTGCGAGTTTAAAGCAGACATTTGGGGGATACTTTACAAGAAGCCTCAACATTTAAACATTTTTCTCAAAACTCGTTCCAAATTTTTTTATTAAACTTGTCACACAAATAGCGTAAAGAACTCAAAAAATGACGCGGGTCTCATTTTCGTTCAAATCAAAACTTTCTAAAATCGTTAAGTTCAATTTTTTTCGGTGACTTCCTACAACTACAATATTGAAGATAGCTTTTTTTTTCTGAATGAAATCTGTCCTTCAAGAACAATTCTTGAAGAAAGGTCGTGTGCACTTTTCCGAAAGTGGGAATAATTTCCTAATTTTATGTGAAATAAAGGCAGTTATTAAATAATTATTTTGTCAAAATCGGCTCCAATTTTTTAAAACATTTTTTCCCTTGTTTGTAGCAAAGGAAGTAAAAAAAAGTAGAGCTGATCCCATTTTCAGTGAACACTGTATTTTCAAAAACTGCAAAAAAAATTATCTTTGCAAGAGTAGAATATTGATGATAGAGTTCATAAACCATCAATGCAAAATTTGTCTTTAAAACAATTCCATCCACAACTTTTCGTGCTACGTCACCACCTCTTGCCTGATCGTTTCCGGTAAGTCAACTGCTGTCGTTGCAAGTGCCGTTAGTGTAGTGAATGTATTGTCCCGGGAAGTGGTGCTCCGGTGATGGATGGTGAGATCCAGCGTGGTTCTACCTGTCAACTTGCGGGACGTTTCGCCCTAACCAGGTGTCTCCCAATTGGTCTTTGGGTATGTGTGTAAGTCATATTGTGCGTGTGTGTGTGTGTGTGTCTGTGTGAGAAAGAGAGAGATAGATAGACAGAGTTAGAGATGGAGAGAGAGAGACAGAGAGAGAGACAGAGAGAGACAGAGAGAGAGACAGAGAGAGAGAGACAGAGAGAGAGAGACAGAGAGAGAGACAGAGAGAGAGAGACAGAGAGAGAGACAGAGAGAGAGACAGAGAGAGAGACAGAGAGAGAGACAGAGAGAGACAGAGAGAGACAGAGACACAGAGAGAGAGAGAGAGAGAGAGAGTAAAGGGAAAGGGCATGACAAGGAAGAAAAGAAAATAATGCCCGCTGTCCTTGACCATTTGATAGGGTACTTCCCACGTATTCGCCCGTATTGTAAGGAGAAATCAAGAGAAACTACCTACCAGAGCAGCCGGCCTCTAGAATTCTCCCTCATACAACGGCTGAATTCGACCTAGCGGTACATTCGTGACTAGTGTTCTCGACGGTGTCGTAAATCAACCATCGCCGGAAATCGAGCCCTACAGTCTCCCCGTTCAGGGTGGCTACAGCGCTAGTGCGAATGGTAGCTCTAAGTGAACTAACGCTGTATCAACTCTTGTGTGAAAGCTCAATGTTGCAGAGTATCATGTTTTAGAGTGTAGTAGGTTGGTTGAGAAAGCCTGAATATTTTCCGAACATTCTTACAACATGACTTAGTGTACTTCTTTTCGTTTCTGGAAACCCGAGTCCCGACAGACATTGATTCACTCGTTAACTTTAACCCATTAGATCGGCAAGTCATCACTGAGCTACGAAGGTCGAAGTGAGAGCAGTACTTTTCTGTCTATCCTGTTCCCACTGGATAATTATTATCCCCGTTCCTCTCCTCAGGGCTTCCTGACCAGTACTTACGCAAGCGCAATTGCTAAACTAGAACCATGGCCTTGGCTGACGTTCGAAACTCAGGGGTGCGCAAATATGTCTGTTTTGACTTAAATAATGCAAATTTATTTTATACTCATATTGAATATCACAATAAAAGGGAAAATATTTGCTAACATTCAACAAAAATTAAAACAACAGATGCCACGTTCTCATTAATATTTTTGGGGTAGGGAGTGAAATTGTTTTTATGTTGCAATTATTGATGTTAACGTTATTTTATATTATTTACTAAAATTGTATTCTTATTAATAATATAATTGTTATTCATGAACAGTTTATCAAAATCAAAAACCGGAACTAATACTCTAGAAATGATTTTCTTTCCTTAAAAGACCTAGATATTGAGTAAGAGGCTTTAGAATTCTATGAAAATTTACTGACAGTTTTAGATTGCATAAACAAAAACGACTGTATAGTAATATCTGGAGATTTAAATGCCAGAGGGGCAATGTTGAAGTCCAAGGAAGTTTTGACGGCCGTAATAAATAATAATGAAAAATTAATTAGTTTATCGACTTATAACAAATTAAAAATTACAAATACGTTTTTTGAGGCATAAATATATTCTGAAGTTTTCTCGGTCTGCTAGACGTTGTAGATTCGTAATCGATTATGCTGTTACGAATGATAAAATTATCTAAACTAATTCAAGATTATACTCTTTGAGATAAGGAAGTTAATCTTGTGGTTAGGCGGAAGAGCAGG